TTTGGCTATAAGGGCTCTGGCAACAAAAGAAATGAAATACTGAAATTTACGCGTCGCTGTTGACTGTTTATTTTTTCCGCTTTTTTGAATCTTCAAGTTTTTATTGCTATCGGCGGGCACCTGGGTCTAATTCCCGCTGCCGAAAAACACACAAGAATTCAACACTCGGTAGCCGCAAAAAGGGTTATAAAAGGCCAACTAGTTAGGTGTAGTTGCCACAGAGAGAGAGAGAGGAAGCCAATTTACATATGGATTTGTATATGTGTCTCCATAAAAGTATGTCTAGAAATAAATATGTATGGGGCCGAACCCTACGGTAACTTTTACGAGTATTATATTGTCTTAATGAACAAAAAGGCACAGGAAAAGGTTTCTGTTTTCTAGAAGAGACAAATGTATCTCGTTTGAGCGCAAAACACAAATGTTTAAAACAATAATAAATTATCTGGTGTTGCTGCTGTTTCCTAGCTCTCTTTTGCCTTTTATCGCTTGATAATCGCTGGTCATTAGTCATTTTGGACTCAAACTTAAGCATTGTGTGTGTGTTTCCTTTACAGCAAATGTATCTGTATCTTTGTCTGTTTGTGCCACGCCACCAAAAGAGTAATGTGAGCAACAGTACAGTGGCAGCTGCTGTTCTGGTCTGCTCCTGCTCCTGCCTCTCCCTCTGTTCCTAATTTTTGTTTTCTTTTTTTGTTTTTTCTGGCGCTACTTCGCCTCTTCATTTGGTCGCTCCACAGCTTCGTTTAATAAATCTTGTACTGTCGCCTTTTATTGTTGCGGCAATGTTTCAAATTGTATGTATTTATCTTCTGCCGTTGAATTGGCATAACAATGTAGCTCATCGGAAAACACAGGGGAACCTCACAGCAAACAACCACAGAAGTATCCACAAACAGGCTGCAGAAGCAGCAGTGACAGCGGCAGGTCAAACCCATATTTAGCAACTTCTGACTAGATCACACTCAGGCTTTAGTTATCGGCTATCTATACAGTGCATGAAATATTTGTGTACCCTTTAGCGGCATTCAACATAGAGTTTAATACAACATTAAATGCATGCGAGTACTAGCATTTTATAAAGGGTATATAGAAGCTATATAGGGAAAACTATAGAGTGGGAAATTTCATAGAACTGCCAAATAAGTGATCTGATGGATATGGATATTTTCTTTTATCTTTAAAATTGTGAATACATCAGATTTTCGCGATTTTCTGTGGCGGAAGGGGGCGGGGCTAATTTTTTAAATACACTGATAACAGTGTGTTTACTCTGGACTCTGGAGGCTTTGGTGGCTCTACTTTTTATAGTCTCTGAGAACAAGCCGACAAACAAGGCGGACGGAAGAATAGACGGACAGACAGATATAGACTCGGCTATGGATACTGATCAAGAATATATGCATATGCTTTATATGGTCGGAAACGTTTTTTTCTATGCTTTATATGCATCCACTTATGTGCACAAATACAATGTACCCAAAAAAGTACAATGTACAAAAAAAAAAGATATATAAAAGAAGCAAATACATTCACAGCTCTGTCAGCGACAATTTCCTTTATCTGTTGCATGATTGATGCTGACATTTACATGGAATTCAGTGACCCGATTTATCAATTGCAAGTTCACAAGCTAATTACTCTATGCAAAGTGCAAAACCCTTTCAAAACAATAGGAGAAAAACAAAAGCCCCCGCACTGACCACTGTCACATATATCACTGATATATGTATATATCAATAATAAATTAGCTCCAACAAAGAACGACAACAAAAATCTCCAACGGTGGCGGCGAACTGGCCTTTGAAGTGCCATGGCTCAAGGTATTGCTGTTTGGTTGCTTTCCAGTTGTTTCCGTTCGGCAGGGGGCTCCATGTTTAGTGCCCACAGGGTGGCAACTTAGGTGCAATAATAATCACAGCTGAAGTATTTATGCCGCGGCGGACCCACAGCTGAAGGCCTGCAGGGCCATAAATACTCAATGCGATTTAAAATAGATTATTTTGTTGTTGTTTTTCCTCATACATTCGTGATTTTTAGAGGCAGAATTTATGAGCGAGTACACGACAGGAGTTTCGTGTAAGAAAAATCAACCATGCTGTCAAGAAAAGCATTCAGATTCGACTAATTAATGAGAAACTCAAGCGTAGAACCCGAGCCGTGCCAAGGATTCTTTTCGCCCGGGGAGAAGTATTAAAACGGCACCCCCAAGCACCCTAAATTTACAAATTATAATTCTTTCAAGTCCAAATCGGCGGACCTACATTTTGGAGTACCCTTTAGACCCACCCCAGAAGCAGAGCTCGTAAAGCCATCGATAAAAACCCAAAGACGCCCTTCATTAGCTTTCCCTCAACACCTCTCACTACATTGATCTGTGTTTAGCCCTAAGCCAAGTCTTAAGCTGAATTTTAAATATGCACATTTGTTACATTATATTTTTTCAACATCTGCTATCTACATTACTTCTCACACCAACTTGCTCTGTTAGGTCGCCACACTCCCCCACATATACGAATAAGGATCAAATCGGATCATTATTATAACCTTAATGACGAAATTCCTTTGCAGTGGCCTCTAGCCACCACTCGACGCAGCTTTGTTAATTTTTTTTGGCGTATTCTAACTCGCTCGCAGACTCTGCCTCATACAGTCTGCTGCTGTGGGGGAGGAGGCGAGCTTAACTACTTGTTAATAGACCTAGACCTTTAGACCTAAAATTCGAAAAAAATGAGTTTATATACATATGTACATTAGTATGTATCACACTGAGGCTACATACATACATATATACTTATGAATTTATGTACCGGGTGTAATAATTCTGACTCGTACGAAACGTCTCACAAATGTCACTACTCGTTTTTCTTTAAACTAACTCCCAAAGAAAAAAAACTTCACATAGTGTATCTAAAACTTCAATCTTCAAGTGCCAAAAAAATCCCTTCATGTATTTAGCTGCTCTCTTGTGTTCCCTGTGTGTTCGAATTGTGTGGGGGTCCAGAGGGAAAGTGTCAAACACAACATTATGAAAATGACACGAGGAAACCATAAATATTAAAACAAAACAGGCAGCAGCAGCAACAATGTCTTAACACAGCATAGGATATGAAATGGATGGATGGATGGATGCGATGCAGAGAGGAGGTAGACCCCGGGCAGATCTCGGAATCACAGGGGGGGTGTAAAATTCACAGAAAACGAGTAGGGACATTTGTGAGACGTTTCGTACGCGCCACTACCCGATACCCGATACTCAGTCGGTATTTCTGTACCTTAGGGGCTGATCATTTTGGGGGGGGGGGGGGGGGGGGGGTCCCCCCCGCCCCCCTTCCTGTGGGGTTTTTGGGCGGGGGGCGTGGGGGCGTGCCGGGGGCAAAAGCTTGGGGGGGGAGGAAAAGAGAAACATAAAAAAAAACAAAAAAAACACATACGCGACGGGGGGGGGGAGAGACAGACAAAGAACTGTTCCTTTGTGTCAGTCGCTCATAGTCCCCGATCAC